TTTTTAAAAAGGAAACCTTTTTCTTTTTCTTTTTCCTTTTTTTTTGCCAATTTAAAAAAAAGAAAAAAAAAAAGCACATACAATCACAACATCTGACTTTAAGGCTTCTTTTAAGAAGCCTGTGATGGTTGCGTAAGAACTATTTAAAACAGAAAAAAAAGGGTTATCATGCATCCCTGGGTACTAGGGAATCTATAAATCATGCATATTTCCTCAATCTAAAGTTTAATGTTTTCAAAATACTGTCAGCTAATTTGTTGTCTTTAGTTAAAGACATTTTGATAATTTCTTTAGAATATTACTTCATCAAGTTTTGCAATTTTCACTTATAACTCATAAGAATTTTTATCCCCCAGGATACAGCTTCTTCCTAGGACACCTACAAAATGCTTAGATAGATGTTAAGTAGAAATTCTACCACGTTTTGAACGAATCAGAAAACTGAAATAATGTTTAAGAAAACCTCATAAGTTATTAGTATTTACACAGGCTTTTATACTTGCGCTGAACTAATTTTTCTTGGGTTACAAAGGCAAAAAATAATTTCTTGTTGGAAAAATTCTACTTTTCATTTTCTTATTTTGGGTGTTACAAATCTGTTTAGTTAATATATGTCCTTTGATGAGTTTCTCTTCCTACTATGTTTGTAATTCTCAGATCTGAATTCTACTGGAAAAAGCTTTTATTGATAATAGGATAATCCCTAAATATTGACATAAACTTTGTGTCAACGCGACCATTTCCATATAACAGAAACGTGTTAAACCAGAACTTGAAAAAAAAAAAAAGCTGCCCTGAAAGAGTGATTATAATTAAAATAATATCTCTATGTTGAAAAAAAATCCATAAAAGCAACTGTTTAAAACTAAAGATCCTTAATTTATTAGATAGGTTCACTAATATGTTTTTGTGATTTCTACTTTAATTTCCTAAGCTTGAGTGCGTTGCCTAAATCTTGAATTTCCTGGTAGGAGATAATTAATAAACTTAAAAAAAGAAGAAGAAGAAAAAAAAAGGACCATTTCTGGAAGGTCACGTCATTACACATCTAGAAAACAATAATTTAGCATTCACTGTAAAGATCTATATACAAAACTCCATTTATATGAATGAAAATATTATTTTGCAGAATTCTGCTGGTATTTGTTTTAATTTAAACATTGGCAATATTACATTGGAAATCGATTTGAATAAAGGTTCCAAATATTTTTTCCCTATTTAAATCAACATTTCAGTCCTCAGTCTCTGAGGGTTTTGTGAATTTCACTTTTTTTTTAACAACTGTTCACTTTTTTTTTAACAACTTCCTCCAAATACAGATTTAGAAATAAAAATGCAACTGACATTTTAGATCACTAACGCTCATTGAGATCCCTATGTTAGCCTATTTCTTACATATCTCTATACTCCAGAGTCTAGTTATAAAAATTTCCCCTGGACATTTTTGATAGATGTTCTAGAAGAAATGCACAGAGTAACATAAGCTAGAAGTGATGGTAATAAAAACCATGGGTCTAGGGGCCAAGAGATCTTGACTTTTCTTTCATTCTCAGCTCTGTCATAACTGGCTGAGTTCACCTGAGCAAGTTATTTAATCGTTTGGGGCTCAGTATGTTCATCTGAAATACACGAGATTAAATTAGGTCATCATTAAAGTCCTTTTCAAGCCATGAGATGCTAAGATTTTATACTTCTTCTGAGAAATAAAATTCCAATCCAAAAGGCTGTATGAATGAGTAGGAAAGCTTGGACAAAGGTAAGGCAGTAAATTTGGGCAAATAAAATCTGAGCTGGGTTTTGCACTATTACTTACACAGGAAACTGAGCAAAGTCTAACCAAATGCTAAGTGGAAATAAACAAAAATGAGCATATTTCCCTGTATCTCTGTCAAGGTAAAGTTTTTAGGTTGTATGTCTACCTCCAGATATTGTGTGGTAGTCAAGTTTGCAATTCACATAAAGATGGACAAGGTGGTTTTGTGGACAGATCACCAGACCTAGAATCAGAATCATTTCAAAGGACCAAAAAATTTTAGATCAGGAGGGATTCTTGATTTCCTTCTATAATCTCACACTAGAGATGAAGAAACTCTCATCCAAGGTCACAAAGATATTTAGTAGTGGAAGGGGAAACAAAACTACCCCCAAACCAATGAGATTTTAAATATAAAAAGAAATAGACAAAAGTTTGTTTTAGATTTAATATGATTTACAAAAAATAATCAAACTTTTTATGTACCAACAGTGTGCACCATGCTTTAAAAGAAATCTCATCTATAGAGCATCTGACAGACAGGGGTCTAGGGAGCGGAGCAGAGTCACGGGAGGGACAAGATTAAAAGCCGAGAACAGGGAAGGAGCACGACAGGACTTCAAATATCTGGAGGACACTATGATGTGGGAGAGCAAGAAAACGTACTCAGTGTGCTTCCAAGGGCAAACAGGACCTGCGGATTTAAATTTAAGGAGGCAGCTTTTGCTTGATATATGGACAAACTTTCTAAACAAGACTCCCAACTGCAGAATAACCTGATCTAGAAAGTTGCTGAATTTTAATCTGTCCCTAGAGGTGCCGAGGCAGAGGCCAGAAACCACCGCTCTGTGGGTAGCTTCTAACAATCCTCTGGGGTAGGAATTTAGATGAAATAATCTAAAACTTTACGAGTCCACGTCCTATGCAAGGACCTATCATGCAGTAGGTACACCAGCGCCAGGAATGGCCTAGTGCTCAGCCTGCTGGCCTTTAAGTCACATTCCTGTAGCTGGAGCAGATCAATGGAATGACTGGGGGCGGCAGGGCTGTGGGGGGAGGGAGGTGACAGGTACTTAGGAAAAAGTAAACAATTTGAAAATTCAGTTTGAGAAGATGGATTCTAGATTACCAAAATGTATATTTTGTTAAAAAAAAAAAACCAACAAACCCAAACACCTGCTTTAAAAGATACTCCTCAATTAGAAATTTCTCTGAGCAGTACACAGGTAGAAAATTATTTTAATACAGGAGAGAAGGGTAACTATAAAGAAATAAACAGAAGCTGAAATGACTCCAGACAGTATTACAGTACGACCGCCTCATCAGTAAGCCTGAACTGACAGACTGGAGGTTCGTGAGCACGTATCAGTTACCTAAAACATCCAATCTGAAAACAAAAGTTTGTTGTAATTCATATGACGGCAAAACACGACCAAACCTGAATTCATTTGGCTGCAAACATCTTGAACGTGAGGTTATTTGTGGTCAAACTTTCCACTGAGTGTGACTATTCTCGCACTTCAGTACACGACTGTAGAACTATTAATGTATTTCACTATGGGTGTTACTCCAGAATCTGCTGAGGAAGTAATTCTGAGTTTTGAAACACATCCAGGTAAGGATAAGGTCCCACAAATCTACAAAATCTAACAATGAAAATATTCAGTGTTCAAATCTAGAGCTCCTTTTTTACCGTAATATTAAAATTTTATGCTAACTAATAAGGACCTGCTGTAGAGCACAGGGAATTCTTCTCAATACTCTGTAATGACCTATATGGGAAAAGAATCTAAAAAAGAATAGATAGGGGCTTCCCTGGTGGCGCAGTGGTTGAGAGTCTGCCTGTTGATGCAGGGGACACGGGTTCGTGCCCCGGTCCGGGAAGATCCCACATGCCGCGGAGCGGCTGGGCCCGTGAGCCATGGCCACTGAGCCTGCGTGTCCGGAGCCTGTGCTCCGCAACGGGAGAGGCCACAACCGTGAGAGGCCCGCGTACCGCAAAAAAAAAAAAAAAAAAAAGAGTAGATATATGTATATGTATAACTGAGTCACTTTGCTGTACAAAGTGACTAACACAACATTGTTAATCAACTATACACTCCAATAAAAATGTTTTAAAAATTTATGCTACAAATAGAAGTAAACCGCACTGCTGAGTAAGCTACAGATGTTGAGACTTATTAGAACCTATCATTCTTGCTACAATTTCTTACTGACTTATGAAAATAATCCAAATCTATACTGTAGATATGGGAGTTTGGAAAAATGACTTAAAATGCTGATGAAATTTCACTGGGAACTAGGAATTCAAATCCTGAACATATAATGGTTTTAAAATCACTTTTCTGGAAAAAAAAAATCACTTTTCTGTTTTCAGTCTTTCTGAATTACAGAGTCCTTCCTAATTATGAAAAAAGATATTAATTCTGAATCTGATATCCCCTCAAACACATGCAAATGAATACTTAGTCACTGAACAAACACTAAGCTTTCAAAGATTTTTTTAATAAAGTTTTTTTTTTTCTTTTCTCTTTTGGCTGCACTGCCCAGCTTGTGGGATTTAACTTCCCCGAGCAGGGATTGAACCCGGGCCCTCGGCAGGGAGAGAGTGCAAAGTCCTAACTACTGAACTGCCTGGGAATTCCCCAAAGATATTTTTGTAGATAAAAAAAAATAGAAAAATGTATTTGGAAACTGTCCAAATCACATATTAACTAAAGATTATTTAAAATACACAATTTATCCTTACGTACTAAAATCCAGTCCTAAAAATTCTAACACTGTGACATTCTGCTGTACAGTACCCAGAGGCCCAAGCACTCTAGCACTGACTAACCAGGCTACTGGTCTGACTGCACAACTCTGCAAAATGGTCAAGACAGGGAAGCAAGCAAAAAAGACTCCAAGCAGCAGCTGACACAGAGGCTACGAAAGCTGGCGTGTTAGAACTCAGGCCTTTACCAAAAACATGGCTCCTGACGGCCTCATTCGAATTTCCTATTTCAAAGTGAGAACAGGCCCTTAGAGAGGCTTATTTAGAAAAGGGACAATCAGTCCAGAGGGCATCACTATGTCACAGCATACACATAAATATTAATATTTAAAACAATGATAGAATAATCAAAAATGGCTAAATCAAAACCCACATATTTGGCTTAGGCGGCAGGCAAGTATATCAGCTGACTCGTAGGTCATATAATGACTGGTTAAGTTCTAAAGTCAGTGTGGTAAAAATTAAGCCTTAAAAATTCCTTTAGCGTGTACCACGACGGGTCCATCTCCTCCTTTCAACAAGCCCGACACAGCCGCGTTTCCTTTGGCATCACGCTAGATCAGAGTTTCTGTGGCTGAATGCCAGACGGAGCAGTTTGGTTTGTATCTGGGGGCTACACCAAATGAAAAAAAAAATCTTTAAAACTACAATTACATCGACAAGATGAGATGCTTAACAGAGCGAGGCAGCAATGCAGGCACTGACGCTGCAAGAGGAACAGTAATAGACTCACTTCTCCTGCTCCCAGCGTGGCTCACTCTTTTAGTTCAACTCTATTTAGAATCCTGTATAATATCTGAACTGCTAAAATTTTAATTTTTTCCCCAGGGGCCTATAGCTGAATTCCCTTAAGTTAAAGCTACACATGATATGAGTCCACTGTTACATACTTTATAGAGCACAAAGAGAAAAGCTTTAGGTTTCTGGAATATCCACAAACATGAAAGAATGAAGCACTACCCTAAAGCAACCTGCAGGTATCTGTTCTCTAACTATACAGGAAGATCTAGTAAAATTTAAGGGAAAATTGAAAACAATTAGATGCAACAGGAAAAAATTGATAAACCCATTTAATTTTATCACATATACAGGGGAAGGAAATGATTAAAAAGAAAATTATACGGTTATTAAAGATTTTTTTCAGCTATACTTTTGGTAATACTACTGTTCCATGTTCACCTTTTAATATGCTTCGGCGAACACAAATCAAGTAGTTTTACAGTATCAACGCTTCCTTAGGTAGTACGGCAAACAATTTACATTAAAAAAAATCACTGTAAGAGCCTTAGGATAGTTATATGACTTTATTTTAAGAGGTGGAGAAGACGAGGAATTGACAGAACAAGCCTATTTTCTACGTCTAGTCTCAAAAGAATTTTAAACAACTGAAAAATCTTTATCAGGGAAACATATTACAAGTTTATACTATTAAAATCTCTACACTCACACCAATATATGTCCTCCTTCATACTGAAAAATTCTTCATTTTGATTTTTAAGACTATAAAAGCAGAGAGAAACTGACTCTTCATGATATAGACTCTGAAATTAATGGGATTATAAATAATCTGTTAGGTAGGCCTCAGACTAAGTTAGATTATCTTCTACTTGATTTCTGAAATGTTATTATTTTTCTTATGAGCTGAACGACTTCCGCTCCGCAGAAGTACTTTATTTCTAACCACAAAGTAAATTAGTTTATGGAACCTTTTCTGAAGGTCTTCAAGAATAAGAAGCACATTTTCATATTTATTAGGTTTAACTGTAGCCTTACCAGATAATTAGGGGGACAGAATAAACATCTTTATAAAAATCTGTATGACAATTTTAACAGTGAATTTCTGTAATCTACAAGCCTCAAACAACAGATATTTGCTTTAAAACAGAAAACTAAACTTTGAAGAATATTTTAAGTAGATGGCATTTATTTTAGACACATTTCACAATGTAGGCCTAATGCTAAAGTAGGTATTACCTGAAAATGTTTCCAAAATTATTAAAATAATCCTTACACAAACGTTGTTCTTTGAAAAATTAGCTTCCCTCTTACAAGTTATTCTGAATGAATGTGTAAGCACAGAAAACTTGTATTATCTATCGACTTGCTGGCTTACTTTAAAGCAGTCTAAGTAAAAGACCAGAAAAGTGTCCAAATATAAAACACTATCAACTTATGGTCCATTTTCTCTTTTTTATTATTTGAAACATAATAGTTGGGTCTTGGTTGGCAGTTCACAAAGTATATCCAGGAAACAAATGTCATATATTAAATAGCAGTAAACATCTTACGTATGTGGAAATGTTTAAATGAAGACACACGTACAATCAGGACTCAAATAAATACTTAAACCTTGATTTTTAAAAAGTTCTATTTTAAGAGAAAAGGACTTTTAGCTGTAAGTATAATAGACCACATATTCCAAAAACTGATGAACCCGGTGCTTCTACAGAAACGCACGTCGTAACGAATGAACATACCAAAGTGCGCTGAGCCACTGCCGCTTTTACTCTGCGCAGAGGCGCTGCATGTCTGGGTCCCGGGCTGTGCTGCTCCTGTTCGACTTACACTCCGATACCATTTTCTACAGGAGACTCCATCACTGTCACTGTCACGTAGGGATGGTGTCCGAGGCCTAAAATGCCGCCATCTACATGATTTGATATTGACTAGTATCTGACTGAGGTCTTTAGAGAAAGATTTGTCCGAGGTATTTGTTTCTGAGGTATTGGCAATCTGATTGACTGGAGAATGTTGTGGTGAGGAAAGCATTTCCAAATCCAGATGGCGAAACATGCTGTCATAGTCCGAGTGAGCTCTGTCCAGTAAGACCCTGTTAAAAATAAGGCACAAACAGACATGTAAAACAGCTACTCCCCCAAGTCCCCCAAAGCCACCTCATACTGAATATTTAAGAGCTATAAATTTGATTATTTCGTTATTTGGCTCTATGGGCTAAAATCTCATTTCTGTTAAGCTTCTTTCACTTTATAATGATTCGATTAAAGAAGAAAGTAATCCGCCTTAAAGAATAAGGTACACTACCCATCTTACACAGCTAGCGTCTTCTAACAGTTCTACATTTGCCTTTACTGCATACAAGCGAATTTGATTTTTCACTTCCATTATAAAGCACCAAAACATTCATGAAATATTGCTAACATATCTGTTCTTTATTTAAGCAAAAACTTCATTTTTTTTTTTTGGAGGGGGTGGGTAGGAGAAAAGCAGTACAAGGTATGTGATCTTTGGATATTTTACACTATTAAAATTTTTTATAGACAAAATATTTGAAGCTACCACTCGAGAGGATATATTTTCATTTTATTTATATAAACCTTATAAATGATTCCATCTTAGGATGTTAACACTGACTCATGTTAGTATCAAATAAAATATAGCCAATGTAGAGAATTTTCACTACTATGATGTCAACATAATGATGGGGTTGAAAAAGCACTTAATAAAATGTATTTTAGTGACTGGATAATTCTAAACTAACGGTGAAGTGATAATAACTGCACTCAAGATTCAAAAATGAGAGCTTCCCTGGTGGCGCAGTGGTTGAGTCCACCTGCCAATGCAGGGGATGCGGGTTTGTGCCCCGGTCCGGGAAGATCCCACATGCCGCAGAGCAGCTGGGCCCGTGAGCCATGGCCGCTGAGCCTGCGCGTCCAGAGCCTGTGCTCCGCAACGGGAGAGGCCACAACCGTGAGAGGCCCGCGTACCGCAAAAAAAAAAAAACCAAAAAACAAACAAAAAAAGATTCAAAAATGAAAGAAATGTGTATAAGTCATTAACTGACTGTAAATTATACCCTTAGCTTTCTTCCTCAAAGCACCTTGATGATTTACCTGTTTTGCCTTTTAATTTTTTTTCACTAATATTATACGAGTGCCTTTCTTTTCCTTCCCTTTCATGTGTTCTGCAACTCCTCCCCCCTCCCACACACAACTTCACACATAAAGGCACCCAGAGTATGAAGGGCTCTATCAGGTCTAAACAAAGATCAGGTCCTGCATGGGCCCTGGAGCCTTCCCACTGGCGAGTTAACTCAGTGTACCAGTTATATGACACTTCTGAGCTTATTTAATCCTTTTTCTCAATATCTCTCAGAACTCCTAAAACGATTTTTTGTAATCCTGATTTACACTTGCCTTCATCTATCTCGGAGGCTTTCAATCTTGGGAAGAAAAGCAGATCCATTAGGGAACCATTAGTTATGCATTAAAAGCTACGGTTGTATAAGAAACAGCTAACAAAGTGGTGAAGTATCTCAGTCAAAAAAATCAGTTAAGAATAGCAGACAGGAACAAAACGAGCTCTTTAGAAGGACCACCTCACTTTAAGCTTTAGATCCCATTGCCCACCATCTAAAACATCCCTCTGCTAGGAACACAGAAGCGCCTTACCTTCCACCGCGCCCAACCCGTCTTCGTGCAAATCCGATACACCTCTGGGGCACGGTCAGGGTGGTCAAGCAGTAGCGGTATCGCACATCCCCTAATCCTCCGTCGCTAGGACTAGTCCAAGGCCAGTTGCCAGTTTGGTCTAAGTGAGGCTTAAAAAGAAAAATCTGGATTATTTTTTTTGTCAGCTCCAGGTGAACAGTCTGTTACTTAAAAAGAGAACCCGAAACTTACAGCATAGTACTGACAGCCTGCCTTCCTACGGAAAGCAAAAGGACCATCGGGGTCATTCTCTTCCTCAGCTTCCGAAGAGCCAGACAGAACCTTTAAATAAAAGGAAGTGCGTCAGAACACGTGCCTTCCCACATTCCTCGTGTGTGTTCATGAGAAATCAGAAATGCTTACACTGACCTGGGAGAGAGGCTCTTCGTCCGAGCTGGGAAAGTCATACTGGTTCAGGTCTTTAGCGCTGAAGCCAGGCAGCGCGGCGGGGCCGGCCTGCTGAGGAGTGGCGGCAGCAGACGAAGGTAAGACTTTGGGCTTCTTTTCATATTTACGCTTAGGTCGGATAAGCTCGGCCTTATCTTGCTGCAATACAGTCATGAATTACACACTAGAAACCATGTTCAACAAACTGAAAGTTTGGGGGGAGTTTTAAAAATAAGTTTACTGCTAAAATGAAGGCATTCCCACTCATAAGAGATACAAGACCCTTAACATTCTGTCATCTTCTATTGTAAAGTCTTAGAGGTTGGTCTCTGTGAAAACAGGAATATGTTTCTACAACCTAAACATAATCATAATCAAGTAAAAGAAGAGAACAGAAGTTCTCCAGCTGCTGAAATCCTTGAACAACAATTAGTATTTACTGCTAGCTCCTGTATCTGTTTCTTAGTTTTCTATGAAAATTCTAGGGGAGCATTTTTAAAAAGGGATGTCTAGTCTTTATTCTAAAGAATTAACAAATCAATATTGGGAAAGTAATAATGAAACATATACACAAAGCAAACTTCAGATAACTGTTAACATAGTGAAAAATAAATCCATAATGCTGAGATATTAAAAAAATAAAGAGTAGTAAGGACTTGCTAGCTAAACAATGAGAGAGAATTGCGAGCAGTTTTAGAGGATAAAGATATAAAATCATTATATAGGGAAACAACATGGGAATAAAACACAGAGGCAAGAGTGACAGAGCAATGAACACAGTGCATGTTAGAAATGTGTATGGCAGGTGAGGGCAGAGGCTAGGAGAGGTATGAATTTGAGGTACAGGCAACAGGCAAGAAAGATCAGAGGCAGAAATGATATTTGTTAGGAAGAAAAAGATTATGGCAGGTATCACGGCTGACATAAATATTTATACCAAGATTTATGCAGTTTATGGCATTACGGTTTTTAAAGAAAAGTTAATTATTAAACTATAAGGTATCTCTCTTTACAAGTTCTACTGCTATATCTAAAGGCCAGTCTTAAACCAAAAGCTGGCTTTCACGGTAGAGTTTATATACACATTTTTTCTTTTTCACTCTGAATCTAGTGATAAAATACCACTCAACATTATCAGCTACTACCGCCCACAGAAATTTTTATCACCTTATTAGCTTTAAACTCCTTCACGTCCATGGCTTCCTGGTGTTTGAACTGGCCGCTGTTGGTGAGGGGGACAACGGGGATGGAGTAAGCAGGTTTCATGGGCTGTCTCTGCGCCATGACCTCAGACACGATCTCGCCACTGTAGTCACCCAGACTATACCTGAAATGGCAAAGAAAGGAAGTTGAAAAAGTTAGTTCAGGAAGTACTCATCCTCGTGACAACTAATAACTAACTGAGCTATAACTATTATAAGGTAACATTATATTTATTATATATATTATATTATATATATTATATTATATTATAAGGTAACATTACAGGTAAACTATTTGCTGAATGCTTATTAAAACTAAAGATTACATAATTCCTATTCTTTCTTTTGCTTTTTGGCTTATAGCTTTATCTTGGCACCATTAATAGGTAACTGTGGGAAAGAAAACAAAGGTTTAAATTTTAACATAGCAATTTTGGTGAAAGATTCGGTGGAGATGTTGAAATTCATGCCTAAAATGGTGCGGAGGAACTTTCTGCTAATTTGAGTTGCCTGTGCTATACAACTAACTTTTCTGAAATGAATCACAATAAACTGATTAGTGGTTTTCTTTGGGAGTAGGGACTACGAAATAGGGGAGTGAGGCTTGAAGTTTTCACTGTGCTCCCTGCTAAAGGATTACCTGAGTGTTAAGATTATGGGCCTTGCCCTCTCCCCTTTTTATACTTCCCTGTTAAAAAGCTCAGTTAAGTGTTAAGAAAAAATTCAGTACCATCTAGTAAATAAAATAAAAGCTTTAGAAGTGACAAATGTTCTCTCCCTCACAGCCCTGCACACAACTCAAGTAAGGGCAAAAGAATATGATTCCAAATTGTAAATACCTGGCATAACTTAATAACTTAATTTTACTGAACCCAGTCACTTTAAAAGTGAAAATAAAGAGAGGAACGTATGTAAAAATATACAAAGCATACCACAGCACACATTTCAGTAGTCTCTATTATTAAAAGAATATATTTCTGGAGTTACAGATAATTGCTTAGGACATAAATTAACTCTACACAAAATTCTAATGGTACCACGCTGCTAATGCTATTAAAATATACTTTACCTCTTTTCCATAATTTCCAGTGTTAAGTGCAATAGCTCCCTTTTACTCTTTTCTCTTCTTTTTATCATCTCTAGAATAGTAACAGCCCGACTCAGATCTCGACGCAGCTTAAGCATTTTTTCGTAAGAGGCTTCATCATTTTTACGATTCTGTAAATGTGAATTCGCTTTGTTTAATGTCAATAAGCATTTCTGACTACTGGCATTCTGAGTATAGCTAGTGATATATAAGAATATATATATTTGAAGGGTGAGATGAGAATTTAAAGACACTGAAATGGAACACGGATTACCAGGAAATCAATTTTGAATATGGTTTTTAATGGATTAACATTAAAATATATCATTAATAACTCTAATGAATTTTAAGGCTGACATTTTAAATTAATATTTTTCATTACAATATATAGAAAGTCTGTCTAAACACAAATTAAAACACAGCCTTGAGATACTGAGATAACTGATAATTATAAATAAATTTTCTTACATCAAAAACATTACTACAGAATTTCCCCAGGTTCTCTTACTTTTCGAGTCTGCATTTTTTCGGTACGTCTTCTAAAGGCCACGTAAGGGTCATTTGTGCTGGAGCCATCCCGCTTCTCTTGTTTCACTGCTGGGATGAGGGCCGGCCCTCGGCAGTCTCTTCTCCGTCTGACCCAGTGCTCGTGAACGTCCCTAATTAACTCATCGTCTTCTTTCAGCAGTAGTTTGGCTTCCTGCAGGCTGACTGGCTAAATGTAAAATCATTACGTCATTTTCACATAATACAAATAAAAGGCTCAAAAGTACCTGCAAATTTAAATGACAATAATCAAAACAACAGCAGTAACAACAGACATGCTGAGCACCTTGTACATGTCAGACCACGAGCTAGATGCTGTATATAAATTATTTAATTTTTGCAACAATCCTGCAATGTTTATCCATCTATTTTACAGATGGGGAAAGAGAGGCACAGAGAAATTTAAACATGCTGAATATTACACAGGCCAGTAACGGGCAGAGATAAGACATGAACTCATGCTTGTCCGGAGCCTGCTTGCTTACCCTCTCCCCAGCATTACACTGTTTCCATATGGAAGAGAGATTTATATAGACATATACACACACTTAATATATATACAATGAAGCTGTACCTGCTGACCACTGCCTTTTTCTAGACGGTCAATCATCTCCTCAAACTGCAGTGGGCAGATGTCCATTTTCTTCTTCAGTTTATTCACAAAGACTTCATCTTCCGAATCCAAATCGTAATCGGGCTGCTCAGCATCCAAACTAAAAGCTGACAGAAGAAACCACAAGCAACCATTTACTGTGTGAACACACGGGCAAAGCCTCTCGCGGGTGTTTGGACAATCTCTAAAGAAACAGGAAAGAGTTTTTAAAGACTGTGTTTTCAGACTCACAAACAATCTAAGCTTCCCACACTTAAAGTTTAAGAAAGAAGGGACTTCGCTCGTGGCGCAGCGGTTAAGAATCCGCCTGCCAATGCAGGGGACACGGGTTCAAGCCCTGGTCCCGGAAGATCCCATGTGCCGCGGAGCAGCTAAGCCCGTGCGCCACAACTACTGAGCCCACATGCCACAACTACTGAAGCCCACGCGCCTGGAGCCCGTGCTCCGCAGCAAGAGAAGCCACCGCAATGAGAAGCCCGTGCACCGCAACAGAGAATAGCCCCGCTCGCCACAACTAGAGAAAGCCAGCACACAGCAACAAAGGCCGAATGCAGCCAAATTTAAATAAATAAATAATTTTTTTAAAAAAAGCCTGTTCTAGATCACTCCCCTTTTTACTTTACAATCTTATTTGTTAAGCACTCGAATGTGCTTGATCTCCCAGAGAGGAAGCACTGTGTCTTATCCATCTCTGTACGTCAGTGCAGAGGCAGTAAACATGTTCATCTTGTACACCAACTCTGCACGCAGTACTCTACTGAAAAGCATTTGGATATTGACTCTATTCAAGTGGGAAAAAACCCTGAAAACATCTGCAGTCAGCGTGGTGACACCTGTGACAGGAACAAGGAGGGGGACCCTGCCTGCCCCACATGTGCCATCCCTGCTTCAAGACTGACACAGTATCTGGCCCATAGGAACCCAACGAATATTTGTGCAACTATAACGTTATGCTTCATTTTCATTTTGACCTGTATCACACTTCTGTAACATTCCTAATTAAAATAAATGAATATTCAGATCCTTCATAAAAATCTCTATAAGCTACCCTCTCTGCACCCATGTTTCCTGCACCATCAGCCCTTCAATGATTTTCCACCATCTAATTCTGTTTGCTGTTGCAATGTAAACAGAGATTTTGGAGATTCCCAAGTGGTTTAAAACTGTTGGATTAATGGGCTTCCCTAGCGGCGCAGTGGTTGAGAGTCCGCCTGCCAATGCAGGGGACACGGGTTCGTGCCCTGGTCCGGGAAGATCCCACATGCCGTGGAGCGGCTGGGCCCGTGAGCCATGGCCGCTGAGCCTGCGCGTCCGGAGCCTGTGCTCCGCAACGGGAGAGGCCACAACAGTGAGAGGCCCGCATACCGCAAAAAAAAAAAAACCAAAAAACAAAAAAAACCAACTGTTGGATTAAACACACTTGTTGTTTTGTCCCTAACCAAAATAATCCACATCTGTGGAGTAACCACTAGCCACGTATGACCAATTAGATTTAAATTAACTTAATGCAAAATTCAGTAGCCACATTTCAAGTGCTAAGTATTACATGTGGCTAGTGGTTACTGCTGTTACCAGATGCTACAGACTATAAAAACATTTCCATCATCACTGAAAGTTCTATTAAAGAGGGCGATCCAGATAATCCAGAAAGCCAAACCGACAGGGCCCAACTATCAGTGTTCCGCCTACTTAAGGGTGTACTTTATACGTGTGTAGGGTCTCGTTCGTACATTGCTTTGGCACCCTCCACTATAAAATTTATTTTTCTTTTAGAGCAAATCACATTTACAAAGCTTAATTATTCATAAAAACTAAACAAGCCTACCTAGTATCACCTTACTTATGCATTATCAAGATACACTTGACATACTCCTGGCATACCTTATATCATCAATGACAAGTCACATGCAACAAATTAAGGAGATGGGAAAGGAAGATTCCCGCCCTAGGGAGCTCTATGTCTTCGCCACTGAAGTGACCAAGTACCTGAGAGGCTGCTCTTGCCTGTGCCAGAAGCTTTTCTTTAGTTAATGCAAACACATCTAAGACCTTCAAATATGAGGAGAACCAAATCTTGTTCAGATATAAAATATTAAAACCCTAGAGAAAAGCTAACATGTAAAAACTCACTTTAGGATTTCATGTGACCAAAAAACCACAGCCAATGATTGAAGTGTAATTTGGCTTCAGCCAAATGTCCAACTGATAGCTCAGCTGCAGCTGATAAAGATGTAACAAACATATGGGGCTTCCCTGGTGGCGCAGTGGTAGAGAGTCCGCCTGCCGATGCAGGGGACATGGGTTCGTGCCCCGGTCCGGGAAGATCCCACATGCCGCGGAGCGGCTGGGTCTGTGAGCCATGGCCGCTGAGCCTGCGCGTCCATAGCCTGTGCTCCGCAATGGGAGAGGCCACAACAGTGAGAGGCCCGCGTACCGCACCAAAAAAAAAAAAAAAAAAAAAAAAAAAAAAAGATGTAACATATGTATCATGGTTCTAGAAACAGGAATATCTTCAAATTTCCTGGGCCATGTTACTGAGTGCAAAAAACAAGGTCTAAAGAGAAATAGGCAAATGAGTTGCCTCTTCTAATTGAGTTCTACCAATTACAGTGAGCCCTAGTTGGCCAATAATTGTTAACTATGGGAGACATACAGTAGAAGCTGACTCTGTTTAAAACATTCTGCTAGAGATAAACCCAGATATGTATACGGGTAAACAAAATACAGTATTCTATAGAGATGGAGGAGAAAATTCTATAGAAAATAAACCTAATAAAAAGAACACAACAGTACACGTAAATTGATTAGATTATTTTAAAGGAGATACAAAGTGGTACAAACCACTGTGCTTAGAGTCCAGTAGTAAAGGTGAAATGCATATAAAAGTCTATGTAACAAATGCCATATTACAGCTCATACTAAGTGTGCATAGGTAGGTATGTCCGTAACTCCAAGCAGCATTTTTAAATTACAGGAAGCAAATAGTGAAAGGGTATTTAGGTCCCCAAAATGGCACAAAACGTAGACTGGGAACAGAATAGAACTCCTGATGGAAAAGAAGGCACAGTATTCGAGGCTGAGGAGAAACCTCCCACAGCAGGGAGGGCACACAGGTTTCCACTCAAGCACTAGCTCCCCATGACTGGTAACAGCTACTTGCAAAGACCCTGGAATAAATTCTGGGCAGCAGAAAAGACCATCATAATAGTGGTATTTACTGTGCAGTGGTAGGTATTTGACATCCTTGCTTGGACCTAAGAAGACAAAAGCGATCACTGGCTAGCTAGATCATGAAATTCTTCAACTTCTTTATATTTATAAACTACTGAGTCACTTCTAGAATGTACCTGGGGACAGTAAACAGAGAATCCCAGATCTGAAAGATTTGAAATCCTACATATGAAGTCCTTTGTAGATAAAGTTCTGCTATATCTGCACGGTTGGTTGATGCTATAGATTTTATCTGTGAGAAAGTAAAACCAGAAGAATAATAGGGAAAGGGAAGGAGAAAATGTAATCTTTCAGATTCAGGGCATAAAGAAAGGACACATCTGTTCTGAGAGGTAATAAACAAAAGGAGGCTCTATAAAGATCTGTTTTTTAAAAATCTTTTTATTTATAAATAAATTCAAACTTATAAAAGCCTCCAAATAATAACAGCACAAGGGACACCTGCATATCCTTTACCCAGATTCACCTGCTGTTAAAATTGTACTCCATTTGCTTTGTCACTTGCATGTGTGTGTCCTCTCCCCCTCCATGTGTATACACACACACACACCGCACACACCCCACACACACTACTTTGAGCCACCAGAGGGTAAATTACCTTCATAATGGCTCTTTCCTGCTAAATACTTCAGAGTGTGTTTCCACATAATAACAGTACAGTCATCAACTTTATATTCCACTTTTGCCAGCTGATCCAATAATTCATAACATTTCCCACTACAGTACACGACCACTCTGGGATCAGGTATTATTTTTCCTGACGTCTCTTTAGCCTCCTTTACTTTGGAACATTTCCACAGCCTTTCGCTGTCTTTTAGGACACTGATGATGTCTGTTTCAGGAGTATTACCATTCCCACTACTAGCAGGTTGCTCACTCTGTGTCTGTGGGATTTTCCCCACTGTGATTAGGTTATACTCTCTTAGCTGCCACACCACTTGACTTTATTCTTAGTCCTTCCCAGGGTCTCACACCTAGAGGCACACGATGTTCATCTGTTTCTCATAAGTGGTGATAACTGTGACCACCAGTCAAGGTATTGCCCCATTACCCCACCGTATAACTGCCGCCCCCACCTGCCGCCGTAACTAATGAGCAGTTTGTGGGGAGAGTTTAAGGCCATGGAAATGTCCTGACCCTCATGAGAATTTCCCCTTACAGAGGGCACACACTGGCGATTCTCGTGTGGCTCAATCTCGGTCGCACTTAGTGCGAAGATGATTCTCCAGCAGTCTCTTCGCACAGCACCGTTCAGCTCTTGACGTTCTGTACTGTAAAACCACGAGACTACACTTCTGGTAACAGTAACAAGCCCCCATTTAGCACGGCTTATTACCAGTGTGGTGATAATGAATTCCTACTTTTTCCATGTTTATAAGTCGTTCACTGTACCCAATTATTTCACTGCTTAAAATGTCCCTAAATTAGCCAGTGGAATATGCCTCTGCCATTTTTGTGAGTTCTTAATTTCTGGCATAACAAGATGTTCCAGGTTTATCTTGTACTTACCCTGCCCCAGCCCTGGGATCAGCCATTTCTCTGCATATTCTTGGCCCTATTTAGCAGGGAACAGATCAGGGAATAGGTGCTAGGTGTGCTTATTGCTACTGAGTATTTTTTGCTTCTTGGCTCTACCAGTGGACAGAACCGGAAATGCACAGATCTGTATCTATACACACACATATATACATATTCAAATATACACCAAGACTGCCTGATAAAAAAAGATTTCCTTTGAGGATTAACAGGAGAGAACCTTGAGACCCGAGTGCAAAGGGGAAGGGGGAGAGAGAATTGTTCCTGCCTATCCTGGTCAGAACTGTTTTTGTCCTTTCTGCCAGTATGAATAGGAAAGGAGAAGTCCTAGCTGTACAGTCTAGAAGGCTTCCAGATCACCAATCAAAAGAGAAACAGCATTAAGACCCTGTGGAGCAGGAGATGTTGAATAGCACCCTGAAATAGTTTAGAAAAGTAACCACAGTTTGGAACTATAAGAAGGGGATGATGGTTTTAATACAGGTTTCTGCCTTTACAGCTCTGATAGGAGAAAATTATGCTCTCTTTCCTAAGCCTGTTAAAAGACAAGAAAAACGTTGAGATTTTCCAAATAAATGGTCAATGAAATGTTAACAGATAACATGTAATGAATATATTTTGAAAATGCTGGGTTAAAAGAAACTTTCTTTTTTAACTGCGCGATTCCCAGAGCCTATAAGTAATATGCATTGTAACTCTGGGGTGGAAGGAGAATATAACAGGCAATAATTCTCAAACGTGTTTATCATTACTTTTTAGGCAATACTAATTATCATCTTTAAAACTCCAAGAAGCAGTTTGTGTAAATTAGTTTAAGAGTTTTACAAAATAGAAATTATGAGAATTGAAATGAACCGGTCTACATACATAATTCAAGGCAATGTACCCTTCATAAGCAACTTCTTAGACCACCTGGCATTCAAGATTCAATTTTAACTTTGCAGAAATTTACAGTATAACTAGCCTTTTCTTGTGTATTGTAGTATACTAAAAGCCAATACCAATTTTTAAAGAATTAACATCAATTTTACACAATTTCTTCCAGAAAATAAGAGGGAACACTTCCCAACTTGTTTTATGAGGCCAGTATTACCCTGATACCAAAACCTGACAAGGCAGAGCACACACACACAAACACAAAAGACTACCGGCCAATATCTTTCATGAATTTAGATGCAAAACTCCTCAATAAAATCCCACCCAACAATGTATGAAAAAAATAATACACCACAGCCAAGTGGGATTTATTCCCGGTATGCAAGGCTGGTTCAATATTTGAAAACCAACCAATACAACCTATCATATCAAAGGCTAAAGAAGGAAAAAAAAAATCACATGGCCTTATCAATTGATGCAGAAAAAGCATTTGACAAATGCAACAGTCATGATACAAACTGCCAGTACCCTAGGAATACAGGGGAACTTCCTCAATCTCATAGAAGCAACTACAAAAAGAAACCACCCTACAGGTGACATAATACTTAATGGTGAAAGACTAGATTCCTTCCCTCTAAGATCAGGAACAAGGCAAGGATGTCTGCTCTCACCATTCTTATTTTAAAATCATATTCAAGTTCTAACCACTATACTAAGGCAAGAAAGAGCAATTAAAGACATACAGGTTGGAAAGGAAAAACAAAACCATTTCTATTTGCAGACTACGACATGATTTTCCATTCAGAAAATCCCAAAGAATCTGCAAACATCTCCAAGAACTAATATGTAATTTCAGTTAAGGCCACAGGACATAAGCTCAACATACAATTAAGCTGCATTTCTGTATACAATGAAAAAGTGGAAACCAAAATCAAAAGTGCAATACCATTTTCAATTGTTCCAAAGAAAACAGGTATACATCTAAAAAAAAGTACTAAAAAACCATGGCTCTCTATGATGAAAATTAAAAAGTGTCAACTTTATAAAAGAAATCAAAGAAGACCTAAATACTTGGAGGGTCACACAGTGGTCGTGGGCTGGAAGACTCAACACAGGAAAGATGTCAGCTCTCCCTACAATGATCTATAGGGTTAAGTGCAATTTCTATCAAAACCTCAGCAGGTTTCTTTGCAGATACAAACTTATTGTAATATTTACAGGGAAAAGCCCTAGAATACCCAAAACAATCTTGAAGGAGAAAAATAAAGGAGGAAGTACTCTCCCTGATGTTAAGGATTATCATAGAGCTGCAGTAATCAGGACAGTGGTACTGTCTCGGGATAAACACAGAAATCAGTGGAATAGTGGATGAACAGAAGCCAGAAATAGAGACTCATCAACATGCATAATTAATTTCTTGCCAAGAAGCAAAAGCAATCAATGGAGGAGGGATCACTTTTTCAATAAATGGTGCTGGAACAATTAGATACCCAGAATGGAGGCAGGGGGAACACCATGACCTAAACCTCACACTCAAAATTGATCACATACTTAAACGTAAAAGGAAGGGACTTCCCTGGTGGTGCAGTGGTTAAGAATCCGCCTGCCAATGCAGGGGACATGGGTTCGAGCCCTGGTCCGAGAAGATCCCACATGCCGAGGAGCAACTAAGCCCGTGCGCCACAACTACTGAGCCTGTGCTCTAGAGTCCACGAGCCACAACCACTGAGCCCACGTGCCGCAACTACTGAAGCCCGCACACCTAGAGCCCATGCTCCACAACAAGAGAAGCCACCGCAGTGAGAAGCCTGTGCACCGCAACGAAGAGTAGCCCCCACTCGCTGCAAGTAGACAAAGAGTAGCCCCCGCTCGCTGCAACTAAACAAAGACCCAACGCAGCCAAAAACAAATAAATTAAAATAAATAAATTTTAAAAAAATGTAAAATGTAAAACTGTGAAACTTCCAGAACAGGTCATAGGACAAAATCTTTGGACCCCAGGCAAAACAAAGAGTATTCTTAGAGTTGATACCAAAATCATGAACTGTAAGAGGAAAATTGGTAAATGGATCTCATCAAAATTAAAAACTTCTGCTCTGTGAAAATCTGTTAAGAGAATGAAAAGACAAATTATATACTGGGAGAAAATATTTCCAGATCACATATGACAAAGGCGTGTGTCTAGAATATATAAACAAAACAAAATCCTCAAAAGTCAACATTAAAATAAACAATCTAATTAGAAAATGGGCAAAAGACCTGTGCGATGATTTCACCAAATAGGATATATAGATGGCAAACACATGAGAAGACGTTTAACATGTTAGCCATTTAGAGAAACACAAATTTAAAGTACAATGAGAGGGCTTCCCTGGTGGCGCAGTGGTTGAGAGTTCGCCTGCTGATGCAGGGGACACGAGTTCGTGCCCTGGTCTGGGAAGATCCCACATGCCGCGGAGCGGCTGGGCCCGTGAGCCATGGCCGCTGAGCCTGCGTGTCCGGAGCCTGTGCTCCACAATGGGAGAGGCCACAACAGTGAGAGGCCCGCGTACCGCAAAAAAAAAAAAAGTACAATGAGATATCACTGCACACCTATTAGAATGGCTAAAATTAAAAAGTGATAACCTCAAATGCTGGCAAGGATACAGGAGAAACTGGATCACACACACACTGCTGATGATAATGTAAAACAGTACCTCCACTCTGGGATACAGTGTAGACGTTCTTGTCAAACTAAAAATGTATGACCCAGCAACTACTCTTAAGGTAATTAAGCCAGAGAAATAAAAATTTATGTTCACTCAAAAATCTGTACATGAACACTCATAGCAGCTTTATTTGAAATATCAATAGTTAAAATCTGGAAACTACCCAAATGTCTTTCAGTGGGTGAGCAGTGAAACATGCAGTGCACATGGATCACGGAAGACTGCTCAGCAAGAGGAAAGAAGGACTACTGATACATGCAACAGCTTGGATGAACGTCAAGGAGGCTATGCTAAGAGGAAAAAGTCAGTCTCAAAAGGATATATACTGCATGATTTCATCTATGTTACCTTCATCAACAAACATAATTACAGAGATGGAGAACAGACTAGTGGTTGCCAGGGGCTAGGGGTGCATTTAAAGGAGCAACAAGATGGAGTCTTGGGGTGATGGTACAATTATCTTAATTGTGGTGGTGATTATACAAGGCTTCACATGTTCTGTGAATCTATAGTCATCCAAGACAAAATGTTAAAAGAAATCCAAAGGCAGCTAACACTAATTTAGCTGTCTTTATTAACATTCCAATGTAATACATCTTTCCAAATTTGTACCGATGCAAAAAAATTTTTCCCCAAATAATTTACAATTCTGCTCCCATTTTATTACTATTATTTGATTACAATGTCAGCAAAGTCAATTCCTTTTTAAAGATAGTCCCTTTTGACTCTTCTGACCACAATTTAATCCATGAGCTACGAATAAAATGTGGTTTGTGAATTTTGGTCATCAATAAGCAACTATTTGTAAAACATGCATTCAAATTTTTTTTTCTGATAGTAATGATAATGTAAATTGATTAATGTAATTTTACCTTGCTCAGTGCTGCTTTAACCTAAAAGCCTGTATTCGTGAGATAATACAGCCTGTGGCTGTGGAATGCAGTGTGGCTCTAGTTCACGTGTAGAGGAAGGATCAGTTCTGGTACTTTCACACTGACATGATTTTCCAGAGAACTAATTTTTAGGTCCTAATATTGGTCAAAATTGTTTAGAATGTCTGTGTCTGACATGTTATTAAACATGTGAGTGGGCAAGAAAACACATGCTGCTTGTTTGGTTCACTTCAAAGTAGCCTTTAATAAATTGGAAAATTTTCTTTTTTTTCTAAAGGAAGTCAGGAAGATTAGGTACAAGTCAGAGGTAAAGATGAAAAAACATTACAAGTTAAAACTATCAAATGCCAATACAGAACTGATAAGAGTCAATACAGGCATTACGTCTACTTTTAGTTTTCATATTCAAGAAATAGTTAAAAAAAAAATGCTTAGAATCCAGGACAGGAACTAGATCATCTGGAGAGAGGTTAAATGAGTCAGAAAAGTAGTTAATAAGCTGGAAACTGGTTAAAGCTAGTTTCTCTATGTCCGTAGAAAGAACAATAAAAACAAAACAGATTTATATTGTCCTGAGAAAAAGCTGAAACAGGCCCCTGGAAAAACCTCTTGATCATAAAGGTCAGCAAGACCACAATGAAAGCTGTAGCAATTTTACCTTAGTAACCTTTCAATTATCTGTTTAAGTTGTCCACTATGTGGGGACTGAGTGAATGAAATATATTTGCCTAAGTCTACAAGCTCTCAGCTGTTCATCATCATATGTGATTAGCTATCAAAGCATCATTTCCAATGAAGAGCCTATCAGTACCAAGTGAGACAAGTTACCAATTAAAAATGCTATATTTATAAAAATTAGGGGAATTCTCTGGCAGTCAGGTGGTAAGGACTCAGCACTTTCACTGCCAAGGGTCTAGGTTTGATCCCTGGTTAGGGAACTAAGATCCCACAAGCCGCGCAGCTCGGCCAAAAAAGAAAAAAACGAAAAATATTAGTAGAAACACAGACGGGGTTGGCAGACTACAGTCCGTAGGCCAATACTGGGTTGCCATCTGTTTTAGTCAATACAGTTTTATTGGAACACAGAGTAAAATAGCTGTGACAGAGACTGAATGACCCGCAAAGCCTGAAATACTTACAGAAAAGGTTTGCTGACCTCTGACTTCTATTAAGAAATTCTTTAAGGCAATTAACATTACTATTTCTGAAGAGTAAGAAAATGATCTCTACATCTAAGGTATATTCTTTATCCTACTCATCTACAGTAGCATAAGGTCCCATATTGAGATGAAGCTAAAAATCTGGGATGAAAATGCTATCTTTTCTGTCAGGCAGAGAGCTCAAGCACAATTATAAAAGGTGAAAATGGGCTCTAATAACTCTCAAGCTGATTCTGGTCAGTGAAGTGGGTACTGAAAATGGCCCCGAACTGATAAAAACCTGCCGAGAGTTACAGAAGAAGAGAATGCACAGTACAGTTACCAGAAGAGGAATTACTTACGCTGTATGTGAATGAGCTGCTTTGGCATCCTGAACTCCCCGGGGTAAATGGACTCATAGTAAGCGATGTTGCTTTCTGCCTCCGGGACTGGAATGACCATGTTGTCCCTCTTCTCGCCATACACCTGCTGTGCCGAGATAGCCCGCTGAAGATGGTGTTCCTAAAAAGAGGGAAAAAGAGGTAAAGTTGCGTATTAAAAAACTAGCAAACAGAACATGTAGCCTCATGAAGAGGTTTTCATTTGTTTTTAAAATAGAGGAATTTTAGTAG